GCTGACATACGGCTTCATCCACGACCCTAACCACAGTGCTCTCCATGTTTCTCCACCCAATCCACATGTGCGTGTTTTCGATCGAACGGTGGGTCGGTGAAACGGCCCCCGCACTGGGCTTGTCTATGGGGTCGATCGTGCGCCGTCTCGTTTGCGTACTTTCGTCAGAGTGATGAAGTTGAAATCGTGGCGACAGAGCCGTCAATTTTGAGCCATGGCAGGGGCTGCCGGAAGCGACTTTTTGCCGACGACGACGTCGAATTCGCCAGTTTGCTCAGTCCGATGCGACCTCGAGAGGTGGGAAGCGGAGGACCATGTTGAGGAGGGGTTGGAGAGTCGGGATCTCGCGATGCGGGGTCCTGCTTGGCCGAATCGGACTTTGGGCTAATTAGCACCTGTAACTCGATGAACCACATACCTTCGTCCTTTTGGCAATTCCTATAGCTCTGACATCTGCCTGATCATTCCCGACGGCGTATTCGCCGTCGCGAGAAGGCATCCTCAGCCAAGGCATGGTCGTGTTGCGAAATCCGCGAGGAAGAGGAAAAAACTTAGCGTCTCCGATTGGTCAGGGTCAAGATTGGGGTGGGTCACTTACTACCAGTTGCTCCTTACGTAAGAAATCCGACCCTGCGACAAGAATCGGACCCTGCTCGACCCTACAATAAGAATCCGATCCTGCGATGAGAACCTAACCCTGTATTGAAAGATTCGACCTTGTGCAAGAATTCGACCTTGCTTAAAAGAATTCGACCCTATGTGAGAAATTCGATCTTGCTTGGAATTAGCAGTGGCTTGTGGCTGAGCAGTCACCGTGTGGCTTAATAGTTGGCATGTCGCTGGGAGCATGTGGCTAGTGATGTGTGGCCAGGACCTGTGTGGCTCAGTGCCTTCCTCAAAAACTCCCACTGGTGTGGGAGTTTTCAAGGTGCGTCACGTAATCATTACGCAATCAGTACGCACTGACAGCTAGAACATGGCCGATCTCAGAAGCAGCTCAACAGTTCGGGCTCGGTGTGTTTTGCCGTCCGCCTCAAAATGTATTGCCAGATTCAATCGGGCCCTGGCAACGAAGGTAGATGGCTATCTTGATGGACAAGCAAGGAGCGAGCAGCCTTATGCACGGGGCAGTGCGGTGGATAGGCAGTGGAGACGATGCGCTGGAGATGGACGTAAGGTTGGACTCGGCTGATTTCAAAAGTTGAGACCATCTCACCCTGGACAGGGAATGAATGGGTCGATGGATGCAGCTACCCGTTTTTCGACTGCGTGAGTAAATTGGATGCAATTAGGCGTGCTGTCCAGCTAAGGCCGGACCTGCGCAAGGTTAAAGGCATGTGCGACGAACCTGCATATGTAATGCGTCCTAATGATTATCCATTGGGACGCTCTACGGCAGTTCCCAGAGACCGATCGGCCCTGCAGAAGAAGCCCGCCTGCGGGGCCTTTGCGCCGCCCGCCACCCCCGCAAAGGCGGGAATGAGCTGAAGTCGACGCGGGTCCGACTCTGAGGAGCACGTATGGACGACTCCCCTGCGTGCACGCAATCTCCCCTAAACCGAAAGTGCAGACGCATGTCCAGACGAAGGCATGAGCCCTATCTGCAACCTGCGCTAGCACCTTAGCTTGCCTGCTGTCTGATACGAAACCCGTAAGAGCAGGTCCCCGTGGAGAACGCTGTGAAGATGGTATTCAGACGGGCGGCACCAGACTGGAGACGGCGCTGGCGGCATGGGCCACCAGCTCTTTCGCCTGTCATCAAGTGCGTAAGCTGCATGAGCAGCTCGTGGAACACCTATCTCCCCCATGAAGACGGAAGAGCAGACAGGCAAAAACAGCAAGCAGATGGAGCTGGCGGCATGGGCCACCGTTTTTTTCTCGGAGTACAAGCTGCGAGAGCAGCTCGTGGAGCCCCCTTCCTCCCGTGAAGAAGGGAGAGGAGGCAGGCGAACGAGACGGGCTGGTAGCATGGGCTATCGGCTCACAGCCCTTTTGTCCTTCTCGCCCCACGACACCCCCCGACAGCTCCGCGTGGGCGGGCGCTGAGAAGATCATGCGTGAGAACGCAGGCGAAGCAGGAGAGATGAAAAATTAAATTTCGACGCGCGGGCGGATGAGCTTGACTTAAAGGCGATTTCCTATGCTTGAAGAAACACCACACCGCCCGTATGTTCCATCTATAAGAACTGCCTGCGTTGCGGGTCGCCCCCAATAGGTTCGCATCAAATAACTCCAGTGTTCATCAGGCATGCAGCGTCCCTACCTCTGCATGAACATACCCACTCGTTCGCTTTAAGACACCCGCTTATCTGCGTTTGCCCTGTCTGCCTGCCTGCCTGCCTACCTATCTGAGAGCTTCTGCCGATGCTATGGGTTTCGGGCAAAAGTCATTTCACCTGCCCACCGTAAAGAACACTTGATCCATAATCAGCAAGAGCTATCAACATCGCAGATCTGTGTGCTCCTTCACCAAGATGAACGAGGATTAACTGCGCGTAATTGATGACGATGTTAGCTGCGTGCACTACCAACGCGTCTAAATGCGTGCGCTTGACGAGAGTCGATTGCGCGCGCCCGACGATGCCCGCGATAGCTTCATTTGTGCGCGGCGTTGAGGTCCAGCCCAGATAGCAAACCTCTTTGAATTTTCTGCCAGTGTGGGCCCTGCCATCCAGAGGCCGAGTGCCAGCCGGCGCCAGCCTAGAGCCAGGCACACAGACCACTTACAGTAGTACGTGAATCGTCTCTCTGATTGGCCTGCCCTTATGATACCAGCGGTATCCTAAGGCTGGCCAGTCACATCACTGGTATCAGTGAACCAGAACACTAAGGTACCACAAATGCGATTGTCCGCTGCAATTAAAGCTCTCGTCGCAGGTGTGACGACTTTATCAGGCCAGCTGTGAGCGGATGTGAAGTGTGGCGCCCGGCAGCACATTGCCTTAGAAAATCGGAGGCTTGTGACCGGTGTGGCTGGTGCCCACTTGGCAGATACGACAGGTGCCAGCCCAGACCATCTCCCAGCGCGACTGGCATCCTCCTTGCATCGCATCAACACCTCTCGCCTGCCTGCATGCCTGCAGTCCACCATTCACTTCTTCTTCACTGGCAGAATCCACGTCACGATGCCCGCCGCAAACCAGTTCGCCGGTCTCACGCAGGCTCCAGTGTTCATGCACCACGCCGCATGAACCTGCAGAAGCTCGCAGGAGCTCTGGGGAGCTTTCAGTGTCGCCGGCCATGGCCACCACGATTGCCCCTCCTGTTTCGGCAATGGGCAGCACCAGCTCAGAGACATTCGAACGAACGGCGACGATGGCGGTCTAGAGACGGTCGCAGGAGCGGTGACGATAGCGGGAAACGGTTTGCAGAGCGCATTCTGCAAGAGTCGCCTGGTATATCCACGGACTCCCCGGGAGATGCAACAGCGACCCTTTCGTCACCCGCAAGCTCGTCATCTTACGAGCCCATTGCTGGTTCTCCATCGCCACGATGTGCCTCACCAACAACTCCATTGTACGTCGCAACCCCCCTCTTCATCACCCTTTTCATGCTGGCTGACCTCGCCCCAGAAACTCTGTGGCACCCTGCTGTCCTTCTACGAATCCAAGCCCAAGAAGCAGCGCGGCTTCCGCTGGTGCGTTCGCACGCGCGCCACCATCCTCTTCGCCCTTTACGCCGACCGCATCCTCCCCTCCGACACCAACCGCCTCCCGATCCCTCGCCTGCGCGCCGAATGTAATATCCTACAGCACGACCCGGCCTGGGCGTTCGTCCTGCCATACTTTGACAAGCTGGTGCAGCACTATGCAACCAAGTGGGTGAAGGAGCCCGGCAATGGGGCTGTTGTCTCTTGGTGTGCGGTGTCTGGCTGCTACAGGTGGGACGAGCAGCGGACGGCGGGATGGGCACATGGTGGCGTTGATGCTGTCGAAGCTTGGATGCGCCAGGCCCTCGGCAAGACGGACTGGTGGCAAGGAGGTTGGTCGTCCGCGTCGTGGTTGGGAGTGTGAGCTGACACGCGCAGAACAACCCGCCGTCGTCGAGCAGTTTGGCAGCATGTCTTTGCAGGCGCCGGCTAGCCCCGAGAGCGTGTACTTCCCCGGTTTCTTTGTTGCTAGCCGTGATGTTGACCAATCTCGAAAGCTCACACCTTCAGCAGTCGGCCCTCGGTCCACGATCTCAACAGCCCGGCCACCGACCCCGCCCCCGCTCCCGAGACGCCCAACGCGTGGGCAAGTCTCGAGCACGACCCCGCGTTCAACCCGTGGGGCGTCAGCGAGGCGGACGAGGTCCCCGCCAGCAAGCCGGTCGCGGAGCCCCTTCCATCCGTCGACCTGACGCCCGCTGGTCCAATGCCGTCTCCCCAGCCCGCCCCGGCGGCAAATCTCGCTGAAACCGGCACCGTTGTCTCTGCGCCGGCCAGCACCGTGTTCACCCCGCCTCAGACGCCTCGCACGCCTCGCAGGGGCAGCGTTGTGGGCAACAGCACCGTTGTGTCCTCGCCCTTCAGCTCCGCCGGCACCAACACCGTCATCTCCTCGCCGGCATCGACCGCGTTCACCCCGCCGCAAAGAATCCAGACGCCCCACACCATGCCCACCAGCACCATCATCTCCTCGCCGCCGACCACCGTTTTCATTTCCCCGCGACGACCCCACGCGCCTCGCACCGCCGCCAACAGCACTGTGGTCTCTTCCCCGTTCGGCACCACGGTCGTCTCCTCGCGACGTTCGACCGTGGTCTCTCGTCGACCGTCTAACGAGTATCGCCAACCCAGCGAGGCGTTCACGCGGGCGCTCGAGATGCACCGCGCGGCGCAGCGTATGATGGTCGAGGCGGAGATGGCCATGAGGGAGCTTGGGTTGTTTGGGTATGTTGGATACGTTCAGTAGCGAGGGGATGCTAGTCTACATGGTCGTTTCAATACATCGTTTGCCCGCTAAGTCTCCCACGCACCCTGTGCAAGGTTTGTATGTCCCAATGTTGAACAATCTAACTCACAGCTTCCACCACGCCTTCCTCCCCCTCTCCCTCTCTTCCCTGTCCCTCTCATCCCTCTCCCTCCTCCTCCTCGGTCTCCGCTCCTCCACCTCCCTCGCCTCTTCCTCCCCACCCTCACCATCTCTCAGCCTCTGCCTCTCCCTCGACCCCACCGCCTCCAGCTCATAGTCCAGCACCGCAAGCGCATCCTTCACCCGCCCAAGCAACACCTCGAACCCCTCAAACGCACATCCCCCACGTGTCCCCTTCTTCGCCTCCGCGCGTATCTCGTGTAGCGTCGCGTTGAACTCGTACACCCTTCCCGCCGCGTCCTCCAGCATCCTTGTCGCGGACTCGAGCGTGGTCAGGAGGGCGTCGCGGCGCGGGAGGAGGGGGGTGAAGAGGCGGTCGTATGCGTAGAAGACGTCTTCGGCGGGGCTGTGTGGTGTGTCACGGAGTCAACGCGGTCCTCAAGACCTGGGTGTTCAGGGACTGCAGTCGACTCACAAGGTATTCGGGTCCAAGCTGCCAACGGCGAGTTTGAACGCGCCCAGCACATCCCCTTCCATTCCCCTCGCCTGCCTTAGCGACTCCAGGGCCGATTGCAAGGGCACGGCGAGGGCGTTGTGGTCGTCCCACCAGTTGGGCAGCTGTGCCGTCACACCGCGGAAGATGCCCTCGGCCGTGCTGTTCCACACACCCTCGCCACCACCTCCGTTCCCATGCCGCTGTTCCTGTTCCTGTTCCTGTTGCTCCTGCGCCTGCGTGTCGATCCCCCACGCCATGAGAAGCACCGTATCCCTCAACGCACTCACCAAATTTCCCGGGCCAGCGCGCGCGCGGATGCCTACCAGCACGCGCGCGAGGTGCACACTCGTATCGTCCAGCAGATCGACAATATCATGACATACGTCCGCGGGGATGGCGTGGGCGCGTCCGAGGGTGCACAGCTCGGTGAACTCGCGTTGCACGGCGGGGAGAGGTGTGGCGGGGGTGCTGGTGTCGAGGAGGCGGACGAGGCGGGCATAGGGGTGGACGAGGGTGGTGAGGTTGCGGAGCGTGATCGGCCGTGGGCGCGGCGGTGGCAGTGGTGTGTTTTTGATGGATCGGAGGTCGGAGGAGCTCAGGACGGCGGCAAGGATGAAGGCTCCGGCGATGAAGCATGCGATGATCAGGGGGACGAGCCAGCGCCGGGCAGAGGGGTATGACGGGACGGCGATGGGGTCGTAGTCGATGACGGTCAGGTTATCGTGGTGGTGTTCGGAGTCCGGGTTGGAGGAGGAATCAGAAGAAGAGGTGTCATCGTCGAGAAGCACCTCGCTGCGGTTGCTGAAGTGGATGCGCAGGCGCCGGCGGGTGCGCCAGGAGGCGTGGAAGCAGAGGGAGAGTATCTGGCGGTTGAAGGGCGGCGGGAGGGCGAGGGGGAGGTTGAGCTGGATGGCCTGGCCGGTTTGGTCGTCTTCGTTTTCGGTCTTGTTGTTGTCGCTGTCGGCTTCCGTCTTGTTGTTGGCGGTGATGCTACTCTTGCGGCGCCGTCTTTGTGGCGTGGTTTGCAGACCAGGCGGAGGGCTGTCCGACGGGCGGCGGCTGGACTTGCTGCGCGTGACGGCCGGCATTGCATCGCTTCATCAAGGAAGAACGCAGGAACTCGATGGGAACCTACACGAGGAGGGCGGCTTATTCGTAGCCCCTGACCAAGGCTAGAGCGGCTGTCATTCCATTTCAACACGATGCAAACGGCGACGGGACAAACACACAAATTGAGGCAATCAACACATGCCACAAACACCTCGGGAAAGCAAACAATAGCATTCAGGACTGCATAACTCTCGAAGACGCGCACAAATCTCGACATACACGGCAACGAGTCCGTAAACATATGATCCAATCAATTGACCTAACACGACAATCTACTCTTTATTGTTCTTGGCGGTGTCCGCGTTGGCCTCCCGCTCCATCATCGTGTGGCGATGCCAGTGCAGCACCTTGACGCGCACCTCGCAGTCGACCGCCTCGAAGAGGTGGCTCTTTTGCTCTTGCAGGACGCGGTCCAGCTCGGCGTCGATGTCCTGCAGCGAAGCGAACGGGGCATACAATGGCAGTGGCAGTGGTTGGTGTTGGTGCTGGTGATCCTGGTATTGCTCGAGGACTGACGCCGCATCATGTTCTGGCTGTGGCTGGGCTTGTGGCTGCTGTGGCTCAGCAAGTGGGACCGAGGGGCGTGGCTGATACTGGAAGCCCTGTGGCTGGCGCTGCTGTGGCTGCGACTGCTGCTACTGCAGCTGCTGCAGCTGCACCGTCTTGGTGCCCCGCCACGAATCAAGGTACCGCGGGTCGCGCATCGCCGCTTCCACCGTCTGCCGGTCCTGCGCCGACTGCAAGCCCGGCGCTTTGCGAACGAGCTGGCCGATGTTGGTGAGGCCGGAGCGCATGATGCGCGAGGACAGGACGGAGCGTCTGTCGTCATCGTCATCAGCATTGTTGGCGTTGATGGCGGTGTTGTTGGCGGTGTTGTTGGCGGCGTTGGCGTTGGCGTTGGTGGTGCTGAGGTTGTTGTTGTTCATGTTGGTGGCCCAGTTGGTGTAGGCTTTGATATTGGCACCCTTGCGAGCAGCTGTGGCCTGGTTCTTCTTGGCATCGAGCGCTAGATATTCCTTGTCTCTCTCACTCAACTCGCGCTTGTTCTCGAGGTACTCGGCCATCTCGCGCGACGTGATGGAGTCTGAATCTGGAATGGTGACGGTGGAGGTGAGTCTGTGTAGACAGACTTCTGCAAAAAGACGGAATAGATGCAGAAACGCAGCACATCGTATTTTCAGCCTCCTGCACCTTTATGCTGCTTTTCAGACCGTACATCTTCCCATCCAATCTCACTCTCCGAGACAAGAACCACTCACAAGACACCTAACAAAGAAGCCCACAGATCCCGTCCCGTCACGCGTCTCCCAGATCCCTCCTGTCACCTCAAGCTGCATCACGCACCACCCCTCCAAGCAGCCGCTCCCAAATCGCACCCATCGGCGGCGCCTTCGCCTCGCCCACCTCCCGGATTCCCATCTCCCGCACCGCGGCACGGTCCAGCGCGCCCTCTAGCACCTGCAGCTCCTCCAAGCACCGGTCGCGCATCGCCTCCGCCTCCGCCCGCTCTTCTGCGCCGGCGTGCGCGATGCCATGCTCGAGGAAGTCGAGGTGCACCTTGAAATCGAACAAGTTGCCGGCTGCTTCGAGCATAAGGTTGCGGAGTTCGGCGAATGAGAGGGCGTCGAACTCGGCGGCAAGGGCGTCAAGCTCCGCGGCAGCGTCATCCTGCTCCTCCTCCTCTTCCTCCTCTGCGACGGGAGGCAGCTGCGCGCGGTGCGCAACTCGCGATCGGATCGGGGTAGGCGGTGGGGTGAGGATGAAAACATTCGAGACCGAGTCCTCCGGGCGCACTGTGCCTCTCTCATCCTCATCCTCATCATCTCCATTCTCACTCTCACTCGCACTCGCACTCGCACTCTTACTCTCACTCTCATTCTCAACCTCTTTCTCATCCAGCGCCAACAACCGCTCCGCATCCTCCTTTGCAAAACTGACCCCATCCCACTCCTCCTTCACAAACGCCTTCGCCCACTCCTCATACACCACCTCGCCGTCCTCATCGTACCGCCACACCCCCGCCTTCCCCAGCTCCCTGAATCTTCCCTGCAGTGCGTCCTTCATCCGCGGCACCATGAGCCGGTCGAACTCGGCGCTCCACCGCTTGGCGCCCGGGCCGGGGCGCACGATGTGCATCGCCGCTTCAACCTCGTCCATGTGCCGCGTGTGGCAGCTGCGCAGGTTGAGGGAGTGGCGGATGATGTGCTGGTTCATCGCGCGCGCGCAGCGCGGGCCCCAGACGTGCCGCGTGTTGGAGGCTTTGAGGTTCCTCAGGGGTCGGCCGCATACTTGCTGGAGGGCGTTAGCTGACTGGCAGTGAGAAAGGGAAGGGGGGAGTACGGTTTCGGAGTTGGATTGGCACATGACGGGCGGATGAAGCCGAGATTAGATGAGACCGAGATTGAATGATTGAATACGGAAATGACTGAGGTGGTGATCACCGACAGCCGAAATCTGAGATCTGGTGGTGATGATGGCAAGTTACAAACACACAAACGGCAATCTACTTTCCACCAGCCTCTCTGGCCTTCTTGCGCTCTTCCCGCGCCACCCACGCCCGGAACCGCTCCATCTCCTCCTCCGTGAAACCACCTCCAATGACAGGGTTGTTGCCGCCCTGGGGGGAGACGCTGCGGCTGCGGCCCCGGCCGTTTGCGCGGTTGCACTCCCGACCGCCTGGGCCGAACATGTGGGGGCTGGTGCTGAATAAAGCCGCGGGGGTGTCTTGGGTCTCGCCAAAGTCTGGAAATGCGCCTGGCACAGTCGCAGTGTTTCCAACACTAGGGAATGCGCCGGGCACAGGAGCAGTCTGTCCAAGGGAAGGAAATGGGTTTGATGAAGTGTATCTGCCGCCTGCTGGTGAAGAGTTGGTGGTATCTCTGCGCGTCTCTCCAACCCGAGGAAACGGGTCGAAAGTGACGGTGTCTTGGACGGTCGGACCAGGGCCAGGATTCAAAGGGTGAGCTGTGTCTCTGCCTGTGACTCCCAAGCGAGGGGACAGGTGGGCGACAGTGGCTGCCGTCTCTCCCACGGGGAGATATAGGTCAGTTGTCGCAATTTCTCTGCCCGGTGTCAAAGGTTTCGAAGCACCTCTGCCACCGCCTGCCATCAAAGGCCTAGCGCCCGGCAGCAGGGTAGTAGACACGGGTAGCCGCGAGCCACCACCCACCAATGCCATGGCAGGCGTCTGCTGCGTTTGCGTCTGGATGTGGCGCGGGCGACGGGGAGCAGGGGGCGCCGGCTTGACGGGCGTCGTTTGCGGGGCAACGGTGCCCATGCCGCTCAGATTCAGGACTGAGCCCAAGCCGCTGAGGCTCAGCAGGTCTGCGGCAGCCTGGGCTGCCTCATTGTCAGATTGCTGTGGTCCTGGAGCGGGTTCCGCCGGCGGCTGTTCCTGATCCTGTCATATGTCGGTGTTGTCTTTGTGAAGGTGAGAGGGAACTAACCTCTGCGGCTGCGACATCCTTCTCACCCGCCTTATCCTCCTTCTCCTCCTCCACAATGGCGAGACATCCCTGTTCAACATTAGCATTCTGTCTTTCACGGAAAAAGGGGGAAACGAACCTCCGTAGCTTCTTTCCACGGCCTACATGTCACAAACCCCCGCAGGCTCTTCACGCTCTCCGCCCACTGCGCAGGCCACCGCTCCCCGTCCTCCTCCTCATCCGCGGCAGGGTCGTACAGCGGTTGCAGGAAACGCGCGCGGCGCACGTGCTCGTTGGTGATGGTGTCGGCATGCGGCTGAGCCGGGTCCGCGGCCGCGTAGCGCAGGAGCTGTCGCGCGCGCAGGCTGTAGTCGGTGGCCATCCTCCTGTTTCGTTTCGATGTGACGAGTTGATTGACCCGGAAGGTGCTGCGAAGGGGAGCGTCGGCGGGCCAGTCTGTTTGGGGGTCGTGGTCGTGGTACTCGGTGAGGTGGACGGGGGTGTTGGGCGTGAGCAAGTGGCGGCCCATCGATGGTAGAGCAAAGATTTGCTGATATGGGGGTGAGAAGTGAGGGTTGGAAGGGGGGATGATATATCCTCTTGGTTTTCTGTTCTTGTTTTGCCGGTCTGGATGAGGCTGACGAGAAAGCCTTGACCATATCTGAAATGTGACGAGGCTTCTTCGGGTCGCATGCTGTTTCGGCCCGTGTCTCGTGTCTTCTTTGTCCATCGCCAACCATCGAGCAACCCGCAGCTCAAGTACAAATGCGCGCATCACTCCCTCTGTCATGCCGCGTCTCCAGTCTGCATCACCACAATGCTCCCCCACGGCATCCCCTTCAACATCTTCGTCGCCGTCTGCGTCCTCTTTTCACTCTACCAAGGCTGGACCTGGTGCTCGACACCGCCCCCCGCCCTCGTGATTGAGATCAGGAAGCCCGCTTCAACACAGACTGTCACCAAATGTAAGACACTTCCCCCCCTCTGTTGCCCCTTTCGAGGCAACCACAGCTAACCATCCAAAAGCAAGCGAAACCGTCACGCGAATCTGCCGCGCCTACGCCGCAATCCTCTTCGCAGTGCCCACGAACCGCCCGCCCTCGCTGTACGAATACCTCCACATCGCCGCCGCCTGCGCCCCGTCCCCGGCGCGCTCCAAGTCTTCCTCCGCCCGGCGCTGCTCCACACACCAGATTTATCTGGCTGTCGAGGGCACGTTGATTGAGTACTTTCCTCACGGGGGTTTCTTCTCCAACTCCAACTCCAACTCCAATCCCAATAAGAACAATCGCAATACAAACGATAACAACATAATCCACAACAACAACACCGTCGTGACTACGCTTGTCACAGCCATCCTCTTTGACGAGGACACGCGCACCATGTACGACCACCTCTTCGAGCCTTCACTCTCTGGCGGCGCGAGCGATCGGATTGCGTTTCTCCAGGAGAAGTGCGGCGAGGCGTGGCGGTAGCTTGCTTACTTGCTGCTGAAAAGATGATGACGGAGGAGGAGCTTGCGACGCACAAGGCGGGCAAGGAGAGACTCCGGGCGGAGATTCGCGCGCAGAGGGCTGCGAAGGAGGCGAAGGAGGCGAAGGAGAAGCAAGTGTCGGATGCCTCTGATGTTCCCCCGCAAGAGTCTGTGTCAAAGTCTGGCGAGAAGACACAAGTCCGAAGCTCCATCTCCACCACCACGTCCTCCACCATCAACACCACTATCACCAACGCCATCTTCACCTTCATCGCCACAATCCTCTCATGGTTCTGGTCGTGGTTCAGCTGGCTCCTCACCTTCCGCATCGTCTACATTCCCTTTGGACTGTTCTACTTCTTCACCCCCGCCCTCAACACTCTCCACGCCACCCTCTGCACCACCATCCAAACCCTCCAGACCGACACCCACGACGTATCCATCGCCTCCGCCGCGTCCAAATTCGCCCTCAAGAACCTCTGCCCGTCCCAAGCCTCCGAGGAGCCTCCGTCCTACCCCATCGCGCCCGCGCCTCCCGTTCCACGCTACGGCGACGCCCTCCCGAACCTCGCCGCCTGGGCCTCCCATGCAACAGACTTCACCCCACTCCCGCCGTCCGCCGCCGCGCACCTCACGGCTTTTGAGGGTGCCGTCCGCACCGCCCTGGGCGCTGTGTCGTCGAACCAGCGGGCGGCCCGGAACATCGCGAGGGAAAAGAGCGCGGGGAAGGTGAGGTGGTTCCACGTCGGCAAACTCAACACACCCGCCTCGGCTGCCCGCGCGCGGATCGGCAGACTGAAGATTGTGTTTGACGGCGCGCTGCGCGCCTTCAGAGACCTCGTAGAGCAGCTGGAGCCGGGTAAGGTGGAGGAGACGTTCGGGCCGGTGGAGGCGACGTGCGGGTGGAAGAAGGCGCTGGGGAAGAAGGAGAAGGCGCTGCGCGGGGTGGGGGATGGAGATGCAGACACGAGGACCGGGGAGGTGTTGGCTGTGGTGGAGGCGCAGGGGGCCGTGGCGGGGATCGCGTGCGAGGCAGCCGGAGCCGAGATGAAGCAATTGAGAGAGTTGTGGGGACGGTTGAACAGGGGTGTTGTGCCCGGGTTGGTCGAGCTGGCGAGGGTGGTGCGCGGCGTGGAAGAGGAGGCGCGGGAGAAGGGCGGCTGGGCGACGGGCGCGGATGTCATGAGGTGGGAGGAGGAGCTGAAGGAGCTGGCGGTGGAGTTTGAGAGGGTTGTGAAGAAGGCGTGGGATGGCTGGAATGGGGAGTAATGGTGTTTCGTTCGTCTTGGATTAGATCATTGGTAGAGGAGTTGGTCTTTGGATATTGCCGTGTGGAAATCTGCTTATGTAATGTGGCTTAAGTCGTGTGTTGAAACGGTAATGCAAATACGCCACCAACTCAAAACCAACGTCTGACTTGGATGATATCGCGAAGCACTTGCATCAGCTTCATGGATCGAGATTTGCGCACTTGTCGAGAAAGAGGTCGAGTCTGGCATTTCGGGAGGCTGCATACATCCCAGGCTACAAACTGAGCTTCCGGCGTACGGCGTTGCTCCGTTGTGTCGATAGCCGGCGACATCATCATGCGTGGGAGCGAGGGAGCGCCGTCGCATCGCAATCAAGAATAATAATTTGAGCGAGAACGGCAGGATAAATAGGCCAAGCTGGCAACTCGGTAGAAATAAGCGGAATATTGGAGAAGAAGAATGGGTCTTGCATCTGGGTTGATGGATTTGATGTTGCAGTCGCGGCGTGTTAGTGTGACGTGACGCGGCCTTTAGGGGTGCCCTTTGAGCTTGACGGCTGCCCGGGCGGCTACAAGCTGCAGCAGTGGCGGGTGGTTGGCGCCCTCAGTGGCCACATGCCGATTTCAGCTTTGGAATCTGCAGGTGGTCGCTGAAAGTTCAGTGGGGAGACAGAACCTGGAAGTCACCTCACATGTGCATGGGCCAATCAGTGGCATGGATTGGTAGCCAAAAATGCGCTACCGACAGGCATGCTGCGTAGCTACAGTGCACATACCCACTGAAAGGTACGTATCGCTACAGGTACGTACCTACATGGTGGAAGCCGCTAAAGACGAGTTGCTCTCAAATGAGTGAATTCCCTCTGCCACTAGTCAATCAACAACGTTTTCGAATCTGCCATCGACGAGGAACCCGCATCCACAATAGAGTGCACATACACTCGCTAGCCCTTCTCGTCTCCCTTACCATACCTACAAGTACTGTTCGTTCCAGTGTCACCCTGGAAAGTCATACCCTTCTGACTCCGAGAGACCAACGAGCTGCAACAAACGCCCGTTGTTCCACACTGCTATCATAACATCCCAGTCTTCTAACCGTTTCTCTTCATGAATCAAATTGCATATGAGGTAGCAGTCAACTCAGAGTTACCTTTGTGGCCAAATCAGCCGACTCAGTTATGTTGCAAGCGGGTGCCTGACGAGTTGTGCCCCCTTGACTATGTCTCTGCACCTTGGTGATTGACATGATGCCGTTGACGACATCGGCCTTGATGCTCATCGGCTGGCTCGCCCGGATGGACGTGTGAAACCCGTGATCTCAACGTCGCAGCCCGCCTGACAAGCCTCGGCCTGAATCTGGGCGTTGCGGTCGTTGTCCCGTCTTGTTGGCACCGGAATCCGTATCGGCAGGTTGCTCATCAGCTTTCCTGCGCGCAGGTCATACTACTCGCTGGATTCTGCCTCTTTTTCGTTGTGAGTATTTTTTCACAGGTAGTTACCATAGCCTCCGAATTAGGCGATCGCGGGCTGGCAAAATGGAAGTTTCAGGGTGGCAGGTTGGGCCGATGACAGAAGACAGGGCTTTCTGAAGGCGCACTTAACGAAGAGCAGGCGGTGGTTTGGAAGGGAAGGCGGGGGGTGGGGGGGAGGCGTGACCTGAAAGTCCGGACGATCGGGAAGTTGTTGCTGGCCAGCACTTGGGGCAGGTCACTTCCCGCTGGACCATCATTGAAAGTATGGACATAAGCTTGAGGCAAGGAGGAAGGCGGACACTGAGGGAGGCCTCCGTAGGGATCAATGAAGCAAAGTCGTTCCAACGGTGCCCTGAGAAACACCAACATTTCCATGAACTTTGGGATCATGTTCGCTGTGATGGCGCGTCTAGCTGTGAAGACATCCTCACGCTCTAGCCCGGCGTTTGATTGCACTTTCCTTGAGTATGAGTTCGTGGGCGGCTGGAGCGAACCCTTTTTACGCGAGGTCGACAGCGACTTTCGGTGTGGATGATGTGCCTCTCAAGGTCGGACAGCAAGGCAGCATCGATGCTGAGGAGGCTTGTGAGCTTGCGCTGGGGACTAGGCCTTGGTTGAAACGAGGTTCCAAGGTTCATAAGCTAAGGCGAGAACGGCACGCATCATGCATGCCTCTTGAATCAGCGGTCCGGTTGAAGGCACTGCCGTTGAGATGACCGGCAGATCAGGGTCAGTTGGACTTGTGCATTAATTTTATACTTGGACTTGTACAGGTGCAGCTGTGTTGTACTTGCTGTTTCTGAGTGAGACTGGCTGGTTCTCAAAAGGCAGGCAGGCATTTCTGTACCTGCCCAGCCAAGCCATGAGGTCGCAGCTCTTCAGGTCCTCTCTGCCGTTTCATGCTCTTGCCTAACAAGCTCCAAGTCCTGGGCCACCGGTCGCATGGTCCTTTGGCTTTCCTTCTCCCCTCTGCCAAGATCTCTCGCCGCTTAAATAAAACGGTGCAGTCCATCAGACTTCATTCGTCCATCCATCCCAACCAGACGACATCCTCCCAGTCCCCTCGACTACTACGCACCGTCAATCTCGTTAACAACCCTAAGGACTGACGACATGGTGGTATTTTGCACCTTTCCAGACCTTTGAGTTCCATTTCTCTGACCCATCTCTCGTGCAGATGCCCAAACTCAGAACCAACCCCTCCAGACCCCTCGACACAAGCAATGCATGACGAATCAGCCCCCGTTCGGACTCAACTCCTGCGGACGAGCTTCGCGATGTTCCCCTGACAAAGAGGCGGAAGAAACAGACCCATGGGGGTCCGGTGAAACAGAAAGAGGGATGGCTGCTGGTAGCCTCAAAGCCGCCCTCAAACGGAGGAAGAAGAAAGATTCAGATGCGTCAGAAGGCGACGAGACTGTTGCAATTCCAGTGCAACGGTTTACGACGAAGAAGACTCAAGGTGAAGGCGACGAGAACAGAAAACCTATGCCTGCGATTCCTGCGGTCTTCCTGAACAGGTTTGTGCCGTTGCTGATCTCGGTGTTCCTGGACGCTGACCAGCGATTCAGATGCGGCTCCTGGGGAGCAGCTTGCTCGTCTCAACAGCCTGATGAGGATTGAAGGACTAGCATTTGAGAATAGCGGAAGACTGCGGATGTGGACGAGCTTAAGGTGGCTGGCGTTGAGTGTTCGGGGAGATGGATGGAATTGGTCCGCTTACATGAGGAGGAAGTCATTGCTTTGGTGCCTAATTATTCAATCCACGATGCGTATGATCATACTGCCTGGCGCGAAAACTCCAAAAAAGAAGATGAATCGAGACGGGAATTCTGCTTCTTCAACCTTACCAAAGCCACCACTGTGCAAGCTGCGGGTGCATCGTGCGAAGCAGAAGTGTGCGGTGACCTGTTAGTCACGACATCATTCCATTCTGGGCACAATCGCGGGGGATGAAGATGCACATTCGTGACTTTTCTTCAACGCGCTGCAACTTACGGGTGGGTGACGATGGGTGCGGGTGGCAGTGGAGAGAAGTGCTGACGAAAAATCGGCAGGAGAAATTGTGCCAGCTGCAACATTTGAATTTTGTGCAGCACCTTCCGAGTGATTTGTGTCTTTTCGTGACTGGCCCGCCCGCTTTCCCTCTTCGCACTTTCCCAGGCGGGCTGGGAAGGTGCTGCCTTCAAGTGTTGTCTGTTTTCCCTACTTCCTCCGTGGGTCGTTGTCTCTTGCTTCCACGTCGATGCCTTGACCCTCTCCTTCTTTCCTTCTAACTTTCTTTTCATACTTTCGGCAGGTTACCGCCCGCGAGCACATCTTTATGACTGCCGCATGACTCTGCCGGGGAAATACGTGAGAGCCAGGATGGTCCTTTCTCTGTTGGAGTTTTCTACCCTTCCACGTCGCTTTCCCTCACCCCCCTCGCTCGAGTATTCTTACCTTGCAAAACCAAATCCTCTCGCCTGAACGACCATTTCCAACATACCCTCGCCGTGTCTCGGTTCCCTCTTCTCGTCAAACAAGCATCGATCTCAACTCCAGTGCATCATCTCGCCTCTCAGCTGTTCATTTCGAGGCGGCTCTTTGCACGAAGTCCGCACCGCAGAATTCTCCATCCTTCCGGATGTCGCCGTTGGAACAAGTCCCTTCCCGATCCTCGACCAACCTCTCCAACGTTGGTGTTTCCAAACCCCAACCTTTCTGGAAGTCGATTCCGCTCTACCTAGATCAGTCCTCTTCCTACGTCTGGCGCTGGATCTGGGTGCGTCCTCTCGCTCCGCATATGGGAAACACTCTAACCTTGACGCAGGAAGGACAGCCTCGTTGTCACGCTACGAACGGGTGTCGAGGTCTGTTCCAGCCCTTCAACATCGATCTGGAAGTTTGGGACTGAACCATCGCATGCCTAAAATGAGTGGATCATCATGGCGTGGCACCGCGACACTCAAGTGTCGAGTACCTGGTTCAGCAATCTACGAACATGCACGCACCGCTCTGAAGGATCGACTCACGGGTGTACGTATCAAATCATGAACGTTCTTCATGGTCATCTAGACTGACGCTATTCCAGATCATTCGTGACTATATCACATAGGTCGAAGCGTTTTGCTAGCCGGGCAGTGTCAGTTGGCTATCCGGGCAATGTTGAGTACCGCGGGGCCAAGACGATCACCATCTTTGACCAGTGTACGTGTCAAACCACGAACGTTCTGCATGGGTAGCTTGACTGACGTAGTGCCAGATCACCGGTGGCTATTATATCACATACGTGGAACACCGCGGTGCGAAGACCATCACCATTCACGACGTGAGTTCCTCCCACCTTTGACCTCCGCCTGCGGTTCTCGCCAGACCACCACCCCTCCGAGGGCCAACTGCCAACTGGAATCTCACGCTGAAACGGCTCCAGGCCATTCACTCCCTTCGTCGCCTCGGGGCACCAATCTACGGCTTCGATCCCGAGACCTACCATGCTACCAAGAAGTCCCAAGAAGGCTAAATTGTCCATTCCTGGCCCACTGCGTTCTTCAGCACGCCGAAATAGTTTGTCGAGGTGCTGGAATGAGGACGGGAGCTGCGCACTACACGTCGCACTTTACGACAAGTGTGAGAGGGCATTGCTAATGTATCAAAATGGTTTAGTCTCAGAAGTTTGAAGCCAGGTGTGAACAGAATCAATGAATCAGAATTGCAACACACCCATGGATCACCGATGCCTTTTTAACCAGTGACTGCCAGGTCTGACGAAACGCAGCCGGCGCTCTGGCAAGTCCTCAGATGCCGGCTCATGGAGTTGAGGCTATCGTTGAGCAGCGGCACCGCGTTGGCTCAATTTGCGTGGTATCGGCGCTCGTTTCGGACAGGGATGCGTGGGAGAGGACCAGCGTGCATGGCTAGCTGCAACTCCCTTGGCCCCGCGATGCGACGTGAATGCTGGCTGTTCCGTGATGGGCTCCGTGATGATGTCTGCTCGCGAAAAAGTTTCCCCCCTGACACCGACCGAAATGAATGTGCCACATTGCACAACAGATGTAGAAGCATGCCTGCAAGAAATGATCTCAGAAATGACTGGAAATTCAGCCTGCCTTGATGACGATTGGCACGCTTTGGTCCTTGGCAACACGGCGTGAAATCGGTCTTGACTCGATCCGCCCGTTTGCCCGGCCAAAGCAACCGGAGATCCCACAACACAAGCAAGTAAGCAACATTATTTTGTTTTTAATATTACACAGAAAAAGTCCTTGTCCACTAACTCATTTCCGCTCTCGCATCTTTGCATGTGGGTTACTCTCGCAATCTATTTCTTTGCGTCGGGCTTTTTCCCTGTCTGTACGGGTTGTTGACCATGAGTTATTCCAGTCTATGTTGTTTTCGAGCAGAATTACTGCTTATGATGATGACGTCATCTGCATCGGGGAAACCCCCTCGTGAGGGTTGTGGTGGGCTTGCTTTTAGTGCACTGTACCGCCAAGGTCAGCCTCATACAGCCCGAGTAGAAGTGACGGACGCTGCTTGTGGCATGAAACTGTGCATGCTTAGGCTCACCTTGATCTCGTTTGATGCAGGTGAAACAGGCAAGCGGTTGGATGCAAGAGACGTGCGATATGGTCTTCTTCATCTTGAGCATGCCGGCGGAATCAGGCGGAGTCATGTCATCTCTGTGCCCGTCATCAGGCATCTAGGACTAAGGTGTGTTGGAGCGAAGCTTAGAGATCTTAGCATTAGGAAGCCGAACAAAGACGGTCGGGGTGTTGGAGGAAAGATGATGGCAATAAGTTTCAGGCCGCCTGTGCCATTCCATTCATTACAGCAAGCCTTGATGGGTAGTTTGTGCACGGCGACCGACAGCGGCGAAAGAAATCTCAATCCAAACAAGGGGTGAGACCAAGGCTGCTTTGGACACAGTATCGTGCAACCTCACCAACCTTGTTGTCAAGATCATGAACAAAGAATAAGCGCTAAACATGATATTAGCTGGGTAAAGTGGCTTGGGGATATGGGCGCTTCAGAAGTGGCTTTCGCTCTGGTGCTGAGAGCATTCATTCACCGTTTGTCCCTCGTCATTCTGTTTCCAAATCGCTACAAACAAAGCAGGTCACCTCACTTTTCAGAGACAAGCAAGCTACTGTGGTGCAGCATATTGCGCAGCATCGCGCATGAAGTGAGCTAACTCAGCTGAGCTTTGCCTGAGCCTGAAAAAGCTCTATGATTGCCAGAAACTGACTGTTTTGCTCCCTGTAGTGCGTTAATGCCATGAAGTACCTGATAATACGCGTTTGAGGTGCGAAGGTAATTTCGTGCGGGCCCATTGCTACCGGTCACAGCATGCGTGTTCAGACCGTTTCAAACACCACAGCGAGAAACGGTAAATGTAGAAAAGAACGACAGCCGGCCGTCAGTATGATGCATCTTTTGTAGCACAAACCCTTATGCCACCAAAAAAAGACTCAAGACCGCGAAGGAAGGCTCAAATTCATCGACCACCGCTTCAGTAGCACAGGACAAGTTGAAAATCCCAGTGGAAGAGCAGCCAAGATGTCATGGGCGTGGGGGCTGGGAGGCAAGGGGGGAATCACCTCCAGTCTCGACGAGCTGAATCATCAGAGCTTCGAGGAGACACAGCCTCGAGATAAACTCCTTCAGCCGCACTGCCACAACGTCACTGGCCCGCAATAAGTGTCTGAGAGATGCGGGATGCTTCTGAGGATGGCACTTGCTACAGGTTTGGAGCGGAAGCACGACGTTCGCAATGCCCTTCGCCGAGAAGAAGGTGTTGAAGGACGAATCTGATTAGGAGTCTCAAATCGGGACTAGTCGAATGCAAGCCACTTTGAATCACGATCCATGAAGTCAAGATGAGTTCTGTGAGCTTTAAAATGACTTCATCTACGGCTGCTTTGCGATTTCTTCTGTCTCTACCTCTGCCTTTTCTTGTTTCGGATGAAGACTTTCCTCTCCCGGATGACGCCCATTTGGGGCAGCGCATAAGAACGACATCCACTATGGAGTGATACACGAGTACGGAAGGACCGAAAATGGATACTGAGACCTTGAAATGGACTTTTCGAAGTTTTACGCGTACTTTGCGCACCCCTCTGGTCCTCTAGATCGTAAGGTCTCCGATGGATGAGTCCCTGCAACACAGCCTCGCTATTCGGGGAGCTTACCAAGCCGTTTGGTGCATGCTTCTAAGTCTGTTAATTAGTAAATTCTGATGTCAGCCCCCTTGCACGCTGGTGCTGGCCGCTTGTCACTTGTCTTCGTAGGTGTCTATCAAGAGTGGCCTTTGTTGCTCCATTTTGGTGGCAGGTGCCGATTTTTCAGCACGTGGCCAGGCCGCGCATCTCAATGGCGGAAGAGGGAGCGCAGCGGAAGGGGCTGCAACTGCCAATGCTGCGAAAGCCTGTGGCTTGTTGGTACGTTCCGATTTTGCTCTTGAAGTTGGGACATGCAGGTCAAGCAGTCAGAAAGCCAACGTAGTTGGCACTTTGTGGTGGGCGACAGGCCCTGTGGTCGTGCGTCGGTACGTACCTTATCAGACGCTCGCAGGTTCGGAGAATTTCTTCGGGCCGGACCGATCGTAGATCAGATCAGATGGCACCATCCGAGTCTGGTTAGCGCGACCTTCGGAGCGACCTCGTTTTTTGTCGTTTGCTTTTGACGGCGTTTGCCTTTGGATTGAAAGATTGCGACCTACACCGACGACGTCCGCTTCGGTGGTTTCCGGCTTTCCGGAACGAGCTGCTGATTTTTGAAGCCGCATTTCAAATTCAATCTTTCGAAAGTCCCAAAAGCGCGCGCGCCTTGCATCATGTCCAACAACGCCAATAGACCCGCCGAAGGCCAAGGCCGTGAGGCTGACGACGATAATGATGACGTCCGTATCATCAGTTGGCGGCGATTGCCCTCTTCCAGTGCCAACCAAGCTGCAGACGCCCGACAGACTGATACGGAGGACGAGGTAGAGTTCCTTTCTTCACGCGCCATTCGGCCCAGTCCGGGACCCAGCAGCCTTTATACTCTGTCCCACTCAGGAATGTCCCGTGCCATGGCGGGTGGCGGATGCCTCTGCAGCAGCTCTGTCGAGAAGATGTATCTTTTTACCGAGTGTTTCCATGTGAGCAAGACCTCATTCTCGCCACGTACCAATGCAATGCTGACCGTTGGCTAACTGACAGATGGCATGTGGGGCCTGCGCCCGGGGCGCCAAGTGCTGCCATAAAAACCAGCGATGCATCATGGTTTACCCGCCTCAGTCTCCAGAATGTCCGCTTTGCGAGGAAGAGCCGGCGCTGCACCTTTGTGTTTTCGAGTGCGGTGAGTCTTGTGGATATCCTGTGCATGGGATGCTTGCGTGTGCTGACTGCGATGGTGGTAGGTCACATAGTGTGTCCAACCTGCCTCCCAAAGTTGCCGAGTCTCCTCTGTCCGTTCTGTCGCGCGGATTTGTCCGCCGGACCGGTCGCACAGTACCCCATCGCACCGGAACAAGCCAATCTCCGCGTCTGAACAAGCCACGCGCCGGCATCGTTTGCTACATTTTCGCTGGTCAGCTTGTTTGGCGTGCTCCTTGAGGTTGAGCGGTGGAAACGGCAATGTCTGTGCAGTGGACAAATTGGTGTGACCTGCAGCACCGCTACAATTCAAACCCAGAATAGCTTTCGAGTGTTGATAACTGCGGGTCCAAAGGAGTCACGGGCAGAAATGAGAGTGGAGGGCGCGAGGAACGGTACTTTGGTGTGGGTTGGCCTCGTTTCTTGGATGAGGTGGCCAGAGGGGTCGCTAGGCTTGGGTGGGTTTCATTGTGACTGAGGAACGACTCTCAACGCCCTGCAGCCTGTGATTGCCTTGAATAACCCTTACAAACCACGACGTGACATCTCGTCCAGGCCCGCAAGGTGCACTGAACGAGATTCTGGATCTCGTTCATGCCCCATGTGCCTTCCGTGCCCAACTACCTGCACATTGATCTTCTCCCCCAGCAAAAGGTGGCGCGCTTGAGACGCAAGAAAGACTCATTGCCTATTGAAATCTCGCCATTCTCGAATGATCAAGCGTCAAAGCCGAGGGTGGCAGCAGTTATAAAAGATGGGCGCGGTGCCTTGGAGTGCCAGACAGACGTTTGGCGTGGGAAGTTTGGTGGTGTGGGTTCCAGGGCGTGGGTAAGGCCCGTAGCTGGAAGTGCGCTACCCATAGCTCCAGTGGGTAACTAAGGTACCCGACCTTACGCTGCATCTACCCACTAAAAGGTACGTATTTTACAGCGAGACCAGTGCCTGGTTGGTGCCTAGCAATTTGATCTCAACCATCTCCATCGACAACCATTGCCACGTTCAATTCGTTCTGTCCAGCAAGAAGGTAACTCTCTGGCAAGGGCATGCGCCAGTAGCATAGCCATCACATCGATACGGATGGGGAAAGGGGCCCCATCCGCATTCTTTGAACACTGGTTGGAAACGTATCGGCCATCGTGAAGTTCTTGGTCGAGTTAGACGGTTG